GGCGATTAATTTTTATGTGAATAAAGGCGTAAAGGCCTTGACGATTACTCATGGACCCCAGGATCTTTATGCATGGTCGGATGGGACTTTATTTAAGAAAATGGATTTGCGGGCCTTCCCTATTTGTCAAAAAGTCGTTGACGATTTCACCGCAAACTCCTCGAAGCGAGGGGACACCACCGGTTGCGGGGACAATTTCTCAGGCGCCGTCCTCGCCTATATCGCGGAGTGCCTCGAAAAGGGTCAAACCTCTGGAGAGCTGGACCTTCAAGAAGCAGTCGCTTGGGGTGTGGCCTCTGGAGGGTTTGCCTGTTTTTCGGTAGGAGGGACCTATCTCGAGAAAGAGAGGGGGGAAAAGAGAAGACTTATTGAATATTATCGTCGCCACTACGTTTCTCAGCTCCAAAAGTCAAAGCTATAAAGGGTTTATTAATTTACTTATTGCCATTGAAAATCCTTTCCACAAAAATGTAATTATTTATGATATCGCAAAATTTGAATACTTAAAAAAGATTCCTAATTTATTTACTTCCTTTATTATAGAAGTTGGAATGGACGTTCGGCGGAGGCCAAAACGATTAATTTTGAGCTTTCACTTTTTTTCTTTTGAAAAAGAATTTTTATTTCAGTAGAAACTATCCAGATGGCTAAAATTCAATACAATAAAAATACCAAATTGTATGAGTTCATCGATTTACAGGTGGTTAAAAAAAAAGAAGTCAATTCTATTATTTTAGACTATGCACACCTTTTGTTTCTCATTTGTTGTTTTTAATTATATATTTATATATGTTTTATTTCTAAATGAACTTTTTTTAACCTAAGGATAATGTAGAAATTAGGGTTTCCATTTTATTCCCATATTATTGAATGAAACTTGTAGAAAAATATTTTCAAAATTTCATTGAAAGCATCGTTGTGTACATTGCATCCATACCATGGAGACATTTTTATGTATCACTTGCCATATGTGTGAAAAAATATCCTGCAATTTATTTTCCATTTTGTGAATAAAAGGAATCTTGGAGCAAAATAGTTTTTTCTGAATGAAAAGTTTCACTTTAGATATTACATCGAAATAAATGAATTGAAAGAGTTTTTCGTTCCGAACCAGGTATCTGACCTTGAGAATGAGTTAAGGATGGACCAAGCGCATTACTATGTTGACATGATATCGGAATTTGACGTTCCACCTCGATAACAGCTGGATGATCTGACACGTCTGTTTGATTCTTTGTCGTGAAAAATCTCCGACGGCCCTCTTTTTAAAACAGGAGCTTTTTTATCCGTTTTATTCATATATCAAAAGATTGAGTAATGAGAATTCGGACGTCCAGGTCACTAAAGCATCACGACATAAAATTTGTCATGAAATTAGTGAAGGAATGAAAAAAGTTCCTGAGGTTATGTAGGTTTTTCAAAGAAAGATAATGTGGTACCTTCTAGTCCGGCCCTTAAAATTTGTTTAAGATCCGCTCTTAAAATGTATGCGTTCATTCTGTGCAATATATTAATGTTGACCACTTCTCCATCTGTTGATGAAGAGGTGGTTTTGCCAGCATCGCAGCGCCGTGGTGCTCGCCGGAAAATGCATCTCGGTGAGTCAGAGGCTGGATTTGGCGACGACATGGGCGGACTGGAATTGGCACTCACTTCTCTTATTTAGCTATGCTCCATTGAAATTAAGGCATTGTGGCCAAACAATTTCCTCAAAAGTGGAGCGCTCAACCTTATAATAAAAAAATATTTTAAGGATGATTGCACAGAAATCAAACATTCAGAATGACGCACAATCGATTGCCAGCGATGTAGTTTTGCTACTGGTACGAATAACATTGTGCATTTTAGTGGATAATCAGGCCTCAAATCCTATTGATATCGTCGCCTCTGTATTGAAGCTCTGCTTAAAATCTAAAAATGTTGCCTTTTTTCTATCGAAATTCGTTGCAGACTTGGAGCAAGAGGATGCATTTGCTTCGTTAGCAGAACTGGTGATCCGAGCTTTTTTTGAAAACTTGGTGCATGCTGCTCTCTATGATGCAATTTCCGACGGTGTCACAGGTAAAAATATATCGCTGTTCCTCGCAGAAGTATCGAGACAAAGCGTGAGCATCACTGTAAAAGTGGCTGATGTAATCCTTCCTTGTATTCAGAGCGAAAATTACGACATTCGTAAGGCGGTTATTACATGTCTTGCGGAGATGATCTTGCAGCGGTACACAACTTCATCTCTTACTTCCAAAAAGGGACCAAACGCAACAAGTACTTGAATGAGTTTCTTTTCCGTATCATGGATGTGAACTCATTCGTGCGTAACCACACCCTGCATACATGGGAAAAACTTCAGTGCAAGGAATTGTGTCCGCAGTGTTTTGAAGCATCTTGTTCCCCACCTCTGCCGTAAGAACACCGCTATTGCATCTTGGATGTGTCTTGCCAAGGCTGCTCTGAACGCTATTCATTACCTGTGTGATGTTCCCGTAGCCATTTATAACTACGTTTTGGAGTATTATGTCTCATGTATGGACACACAGAATGACTGCAACACCAAGTCCAAGCTCCTCTTTCTTGTGGGCCAAACTGCCTTTAAGCAACTGATTGCCGTTAAATCTTCCGAGCGCCCACAGCTCACGGCTCTTGAAGAGCTGACCAAAAGCCTGCCAGTAACAATAGCAATGATACAGATTCCATGTAAAAAGAACTTGGGTTGGGTTTGTACGAATTCAAGCGTCACACTGTGCACGAGCTGGCGCAGAAACAAAGATATGCGATTCTTTCAGTGGGTTCGATTTGGCACACCGTTTCCAAAGAAGTTGTATCGGTGTGCGGTCATGAGCAGAGTATTTCCACTGGTGACCACCCGTTAGAGCGTGTATGTGCTGTTATGACGCTTTGCTAACTGATGATTACTGATTATGATTTTTACAAGGAACATCTTAATGTTATTTTAACTATTGCATCAATCAAGTGTGAGTTCAGGATTATGAAGACAAATATTGTGATAGCTCTTGGGGACTTTGCCTACGTGCACCCCAAACTTCTGGCGCCATATACACGCGTGCCGACAGTTCAGGGGCAGAGTCCTGATGGGTGAGGTAGAGGAGGGATAACCTAATGAATGCACGCAACGTCATATCTGCGTGTGTTGGCAAAATAAACGTTGTCCTACGCCACCGTCTTACATGACGACATTTACCACCTACAGGATTTGATTTGGACATTTCTCCCTCACTCTTCTTTAACCTACGCGGTGTGTCTCCTTACTTCACCCTCCAGGATTAGTTATTGGGTCCAATCCTCGTCCCTGTGCTCCACATTTATCTGGGAATAAAAACCATGTTTAGGACATTTTTGAGAAATGTAGCCGCATGCGACACCAGGAGAGAGGAATCCAGTGACAGGTGAGATTTGAGACTAAAGACTTGATTCTGATGATGCGAATATATTTTGAAAAATAATTATAATATTGCCTACTTGTCGCGTTACATAGGCGATTTTAATCCAGCTTTTCCTTTTCCCCTTAAGTTGCATACCTCTATGGATTGACTTTATTATCGCTTTGGTCAATAAAATTATACTTACATTTCGGATGGGTAGAGTGTGCTTACCATTCGCTTCTTTTTCTTTTTTGGACGATAATAAAACGAAATTGACCATATCGGCAGCGCCGTTTTCATATATTATTGCATCTTTTGCTTACACTACTTTACGGTAGTAGATTTTTTTTACCTCTTTCTCCTTCTTGTGCTTCCTCCTCTCCACAGACCAAATAAAGAGCGCATACCGTTAAAAATAAATATCTAATGTTTTTTTACACCCCAATTTTACTATTCATTGTACTGTTAAGTACACTCTCCTGTGGGGACACGACTCCATATGACCCCACCTTCCATATTCATGTCCCTCAATGCTGGATCAATGACCCTAATGGCCCCTATCGAGACCCTGTCACAGGCAAGATCCACTTGTACATGCAAAATAATCCTCACGGTCCCATTTGGGGCAATATGTCGTGGTATCATGTAACCTCGGAGGATTACGTCAAGTGGGAGCGCAGCGAAAGCTTATCCATGACTAATGACCGCTGGTACGACTTACATGGCGCGTTCTCGGGCACAATGATGAACAACCAATTTGGAGACCCAGTTGCCATATATACTTGCGCCGAGAATGCAAGTGAGGAGGATATTGCTCAAGGCAGGCCTGACATCCAGCGTCTGTGTATCGCGAACCCATCCAAAGCCGATCTTAAGGGCAAACGCACGCTGGACATCTTCGAGAAGAGCCCGTTCAACCCTGTCTTAAGCGAACTTGATGTACCTGGGCTAGTTCATCTCAACAATCTTCGTGACCCAACAGAGGTGTGGCCTGATCCGGCGCATCCCAATGAATGGCTTTTTGCACTTATTGCACGCGTTAAGGATGCAGAGGGTGACAATGCGCATGTGGTTCTCTTCCGCACCACAGACCCCACGTTCCAAACCGGCTACAAGTTTTCGCATAGCCTTTATAAGTACTACCGTGAAGAAATGTTAGAGTGCCCTGACTTCTTTACTGTGGACAACACCAATGGGTACTTTCTGAAGCTTACAACAATGGGCGCCCGCCGTGATTTTGTCGTGTACGGCAGGTACCAGATGGACAGAAAGAAGAAGCAATACGTTTATGTTGAGGACACTGACCGCACCACCACGTTCATGGATTTTGGGCCTTACTATGCGTCCAAGACCTTCTACGACCCAATCCTGAAGCGGCGCATGATTTGGGGTTGGGTTCCCGAAGAGATGGAGCAAGAGCAGAATGTGAAGGTTCAGGGATGGGCTAGCGTGCAAGTTCTACGTGGAATCGCCTACGATGAGAAGCAGAAGCGTCTCAAATACCCACTGATTCCTGAATTAAAAGCTCTGCGCAGGGCGCGCCTCCTCAACGGGACTCTGACGCTTTCGACTGGCAGTGTCAGTACTGTTCTGACTCCGTTTGAAGTAGGAACGATGCATCAGGAGATTATTGCAAAGTTCACTTTTTCCGCAAATCTTCTTGATGAAACGAAGGGATACACCAAAGAAAATGCCCCTGAGGTGGGCTTGCGTATCCGCACTAACACCAATGGATTCGAATACACAACTGTGGCACTGAAGATGCCGGCGGCGAAAGCAGATTCAAACGTGTGTCATGAATGCACCTACCCGAAAGGGCGAAACACAGCATTTAAAATCTATCCCATCAATAATTACAAGGGAGCCGCGATGAACTGCGGTAAGGAATGCACAAAAGAACGCACCTGTGAGTCGTGGGTTCTGCATGAAACTGGAAATAAGGACATGATGCAGTGCACACTGTACTGGGACCATAGTTTTAAGGTGCCTACCCCGAATAAGATTGTGTCCAGCGGTGTCGCAAGTGAGCCGCTTCTATATCTAGAGCGTACTAAATCGGGTACCATTGGCTACAACTCGCCACTGCACGGCTGTGCGCCGTTGGCGTCGAGCACCGAGTTTGAGCTTCGTATTTTTGTTGATAATAGTGTCATTGAGGTGTTTAAGGACGACGGTCTGCAGGCCATCAGCGGCCGTATGTACATCCCCGATGGTGTCGCTCACAGCGGTGTTGGACTCTACACCCGCAACACGGGTGATGTTCCTGTCAGTGCCAACATTCAAGTGTTTTCGATGGACAGCATGTGGAACTAGCCTCGGCCACTTAGGGGATCTGTAAAATTTCACCGACACTTTATAAATGCGGCTCGCTGAAACCTCTGCCTGGGTAAACCAGAATGGTGAAGGAAAACAGTAGCAAGCGGCTTTAAGCATCTTGACTAATTTTAAAATAAAAACTTTGAAAACCCTAACATAATAATTAGTATTATTTTCGATACCTAAGCAGGTAAAAAGAAATAAAACGTTTTTCTTTTTAATAATGTTAAACTACTTCTATAAATAAACGGTGAAATGAAATTCAGGGTTTAGGTACAATATATATACATACTAGACACACTAATTTACATTTTACTCGTATGGACAAAATCGAAAATGAACTTGGGGCTCAAAAATCCTTAATTCTCTTTATTATAAACATACAGATTTAAAAACATAAATAATTGCATTTTTTGAGTGAATCTAAATCATTTGATTTCATTTTAATCCACTTGAATATTGCACATTTGTTAGATTATGGTTTTTGTTTAAATCTTTTGAATGGAATGGGAAGGGGGTATATAATGTTAACGCGATGGTTCAGTATTATTGCCTTTCTTTGTAGATTCTGAAGCTTGTGCTAAGATTCACTATTACATTTTATTTTAGGTGTACAAAATAAATGGCAATGATATTATTATTTTTTTTTGAATATACCGACTGTTTGGTTTCAATAGGTAAGTGTAGTGAGTAAATATATGGGCCAATTGGCAAGCGTGGTGAATAAATCGCTTACAGTGCCTTATACTAAAGGTTTTTACATTATGCTTACGGAACAACTCATCAAAGCAACTGTGAACCCCGTAATCTCAGATTTTTGTAATCAGTACACACAATTAAATTAAATCAATGTGGTCACGAAGACCTCATACAATGTGGCAACATCCGCAGTGGGGAATGCGATCTTTTAGAAGAACCCCGTCAGCCCGCCCACCTAAAGCCACCTGCGCTCATATTACTGGACTATCATCAAGGGTCTGTCCTACCGCAACAAAGCAACTGTTTTCGCGTATTGAGACGATCCTGAGCCAGCGATGCGAGTAATTGAAACCTACCGTTTCACAAGCTGGAGGTGCCTTTCTCCAATGGCATGAATGGCCGAGGGAATTCGCGGCTTTGAGCATTTCATAGCAAGTAATACCTTTCTGTCACAAGCATTTTTTAACGACTTGTGGACAGGTTATCTATCCTGAGTGCTTTTTTAAAAAAGGGAAGAAACGCGTAATACTGTTAAGACTCAGCCAAAGAATTTGAAACAGCTGTATTAGGTTTGTAAAAAGCTTTTAGTGGTGTGTAGAAGTAGGGTGTGGGAATGGCCAGGGTACGTGTTTGTGAACGGGTTAAGCTTAGGGTAAAAGGACTAAATGCAAGACTCAATTTGAATTTCAAAACCCACGACCCCTTGGCACATCTCACCCTTGCCCTAGCCCTAATCCAAAACCTCAGCCCGTTCTCCAACCCACGTTCAGAAAAAGGGCGTGGCTTGGGTATAGAAAGCCTCCTAAGTAGGTGAGAGGCCAATGAGCCTCTAACCTATACCTTTAGTATTGCCTGGGAAGCTTTCACAAAATCGCCAGCTCTTGCGAAATGGACTCAATTGTTTGATTTTTTTCGGAACAAACTGCTTATTTTGATTCATTTTCCATCCTATACTGGACCCTCCCTGTGGTTTGGGTCATGCTCCGATCCCTGTGCATTCAGCTTCACCTCATTTTATCTACTCTATTTGGACCTCAGATTTACAAATAAGGATGTTTTTCCAGTATGGGGGCCCTGGACAGTGAGACAATTACTTGGACCGTGATTATATGTCCACGGGAGAGTATGCCCGCACGATATTTCGTGAGGACGATCGGATTTATTCCGGATTAGTAAAATTGCGTTCGTACGACCACTATAAACGAGTGAGAACCATGATCTATTTGCAACATGAACCACACCTTAAGCGGAAACGATTTATTCATCTGGATGAAGTCCGTGATGTCGATGCTGACAGTATGTGGACGCCATACATGGTTTATGGATGGTGATAGTGAGTTAATGGGTTTTTCTTATGTTTTGTTAGGGCTTGGATTATTTATCTCGGTGGGAATTTCAGGGATAAGTCAATATATATTTTATTGACCACTAATAACAAATATGAGTTCGGGGCGTGGGGGAATGCGAAATGAAGGTCTTTTTAACGATGAAACCGGTGATTGGGTTGAAGGCGACGAAGATGAATTTAACCGTCACTATAAAGAATATTTAGAGATTCGGCGGGGGATGGACGAATGAGACAGCAAGAGACGCGGCTACGAGGATAAATTGCAATCGATATGTCACATAAGTAAGTACTTGGAAGGCATGAGTGAATACAAAGAGTCTAGTGTCGCGTATGGGGTTTGAGAACCCCAATATCCCTCAGGTGCTGCTGTTTTCACATGGGGAGAGTGAACTAACCCTAAACCGTTCCCTGGGCTCATTCACACCTCCCCGCATCTTCTCTTTAAACCATATAAAGTGGATGTCACCAGACCTTGCACGCGAGACAAGTCTCTCGGTTTCCCGAGGGGGAAAAGCATCCTACTCAACAAGGCTTTCTCCACCCCGCAAAAGACCCAGGCACAGCCCACGCAAGATCCCCCTCCCCCCCCCATACGTCGCAACAACTCCAAAGAAAATGATGTTGATGCATATCGTCTGACGGAAAATGTTTTAATTTTTTTTAAGGTATTCTGTGTTCTTCACCTAAATAAAACAAACTTAAAGAAAATGGAAAAAGCCTTTGGATTTTAGGAACCTAACAAATAAAAAGTGCATCACGCAGTAGTGGGCCATGTTGGTTCCGGACTAAAAAAAATTATTTGATATATGATCCCTTAAAAAATAATATGTAGAAGAAACATATTAGTGAAAACAGAACATGCTTCAAGAAAGTACAGTAGTTTCAAAAATTGCTCAATTATTTTATTTTCCCTTTTGTTTATTATCACTTATGCTATAAAAATACACTCATTCATTGTTTGGAACTACATGTTAAAATATTTTTAGTGATAACGAATTGTTATATTTGGTCCATCAAAACGAACTTTAAATCCTAAATTAACAGATAAAGAGCCGTAAAGATAAAAAAAGGAAGAATGTCTCCACGTTAGAAAGATACGAACAGACGTCCTCCACTAACCGATGCTAGACATCTCACTGGGATACCAGGCTGATCAAAAAAAAAACTCGTAAAGCGAAAAAGCGTGCTTTGGGTACGTACTTATACACAAAGTGATTTCCTAGGTGCCGCCATAGCCTTACAAAAAAATATCAAATCAAAAAAAAACATTGCATGTAAACCTGGAATCAAGGTTAGTAAAACTAAAACCTAACTTTAACTATATATTAAAAG